CCATGTAAACTGTCACATAATTCACAATAAATCATTTAAGAAAAAAATTTTAAAAAGAGTTTTTCACAGCACTGCTCCTCCTTCATTAAAAACTCAAAATTGCTGTAAAGTAAGAGTTCCACGTTACCTGAGAGTCTGTTTATAATTGAATTTCCCTTCTGATAGAATCATTTTAACTTGTTTAAAAAGATGTATTATCTACAGGTAATGGAAAAACTATGCCCACATAGAATCTGGATTGGTTTGACAAACTATTACTCTAAATATTATCTCATTATTAGCTTTACAGCATGAGGAGTATCTGCTAAATTTACCATAAGCTTCAAACAAAGTTATAGGATAAAGATAACTAAACCTGCATACCAGGGAGATTAAGTCCATTTTTCCACAAACTGTTTGAAGCCTGCTTTCCCCCTCCCCTGCTGTACTCAACTCTAATAATATTCCTACCCTCATCTTAATGGAAATTTAACCAACTTTCAGACCTTATCAATTTAAAAGGTGGTCTTCATCACAACTTTCTAAAACCATAATTCTTATCTACTCTTATCCTGAAACAAAGAGGGGTCTTTCACCCAATGTGTAAGTACGCACTAGTATTCATCACAAGGCAACAGGTTTATAGAATGCACAGCTAGATCTTCTTCAGGCTATAAAAGCATGAGGAAATTCCAATTCTCACAGAGTCCACTTTTCATTCAAACCTAATTCACCTGCTTACCTTCCGTGATGAATTGGCAAATGTTTGCGATGGATTCCATGACTTCCTTCTACAAAAGCATTAGGAGGTTTGTGGTATACAGAAGCCAAAGAACCAATGTGGCAGATTAGTTCATCCAGCAGAGTTGGCTCAATAAGATCTGTTTCCTCAGAGATCAAGGGTTTCTCAGATAAGACTACTTCTTTTGCTGTGACAGGGTCCGTTGAGAGAAGGCGCCAGTAAATATAGCCTCGGTCTCGAAGGTCAGGGTTATCAGAATCCTAATGAAAACACAAAGGCAAGAGGGTATATATAAAGCTGGGCTTCATAAAAAACACACAAAACCTGCTAGATTTCTTCTCAAGGGAATGCTGTAGTGACTGTGCAGAGTCGGTCATTAAAAAGAGAGCTCAAAATAATTTTAATACAGTCATAATCATGTAATGGAGTCCTTGGTGTGGCACTGTGGGATAAAGCACTGGACCACAAAGTCGGTTTGAACCAAAAGGTCGGGGGTTCAAACTCACCAACTACTCCTTGGAACTGACCCGACAGCATATAACAATTCTGTAACTGCTAGTGTTTCATGTTAAAAAAGTCAGATAAGTTAGTTCTAAGATTCAAATTCAAACAAAATCTGGAAAAAGGAAAATAAATACTAGACTTCATCCAGTCAAAGTTAACAGCTTGAGATGGTCTTAAGATATGAAAATGACAGTTTTAACTGCTGTCAAATATTAACTGAATTATTCATAACATATGTCATATATATATATATATATATCACCCATACCTTGTCTTCATTCAAATATTTATTAAGTGTTTCAAGGAGCTCTGGTAGTGTAGTGGTTACGAATTGGGCTGTGAACCTCAAGGTCAGCAGTTCGAAACTACCAGCTGTTCCGCAGGAGAAAGATGAGGCTTTCGGCTCCAGTAAAGATTTCCAGCCTCGGAAACCCTGTACAGGGTCGCTATGAGTGGGAACCGACTCCACAGCACATAACAACAACAACAAATGGGAGACACTGGCTAGGTGCTGGGAATAAAGATATACTGTCTGAATTTAAAAGTTCTCAGACTACTGTGTACTATGAGAGATTGTTGTAGGTGCTGTTGAGTTGATTTTTACTTAGAACGACCACTGAGACAAAGTGCAACTGTCCCATAGGGTTTTACTGGCTGAAGTTTTTAAGGAAAGAGTCTATCTTCTATGGCGCCTCTAAGTGAACCAAACCACCAACCTTTCAGTTATCAGCTGAACACTTAATCATTTGAACCACCATAGCTCCTTGTATGCGAAAGACTATATAATTTTAATCACGCACATAAAATAATTACCACCACAGCTTAGAAGTGTATAATATAAAAATCCATCTAATTTTCAACCTCTTCCTCACCTCAGTCTTCCATCCCAAAAGCAGTCATTGTTAAGAGTATACAACTTCTGCCTTCCCACCCTCCCTAGAGCACCGGCTGAACCAGCTTCCCTGTCTCTCATGAATAATGAGCATCCCCTGTTGTATTTCCCAAGCTCCACTGTAGAAGCCAAGGCTCACCATATTGTGCATTGGCTAGTACCTGAGTCTCACTCTGGCTGTGGCCAGTGGAGTCCCGGAGGCTGGGGCACAAGTCACAAAGTCTCAGTCTATGCAAATGAATGGAACTCAGACTTGAAGCAAAACATGGAAACTCAGTTTGTATGAACTTCAATGAACACCTCAGGAGGCAATAACAGATGGCTTGGATATCATGGTGTCACCTCGAAGTCTACATAGTGAATGTGCCCAATGTGTTTAGACGTGTTGAAGAACACCATGACTACAAAGGAGTGTTTACATCGTTTTTGTGCAGACTGCATTATCATAGCTCTCAGAAGGCAACAAAGAATGACCTACCTGTTGGATAAAACTAGTTTCCAAAAGATCACTAAGGCCAGACCAAAATTTGATGCCCTCATCAGCAAAATTTCTCCAAGTCGTCGTGAGTATGAAGCTCACCAAGAGAGAATTTTACCCAGGATCAACAAGCACAATAATCAGCAAGCACTCCGTCAGAGCAAGGAGGAAGGACTGAAGATACAGGCCATGAACAGATTATAGCGAGGCAAGAAACAACAGATTGAAAATGGCAGTGGAGAAGAAGATCGTGGTGATAGTTCACATTGTAGTAATGCAGCCACATACAGCAATCAGGAAGCAGACCTAGTAACAAATGGACCAAAACATCTGATGATTCTGGGCTTGAGCTTGATAATAACAATGGAATAGTCAGTGGCAACTGACTCAGTCATGGATGGCGCTAGTGAAATTTAGCTAGTGTTCAGGGCCTTATCCCACACTTATGGAAAAAGATAATAGTGCACAGACAAGATACATAAAGACTTCAGGTAGTGCTATTGTTGATCACTTTCGCTTATCCTAGTACCTGGCTGTGAAGCTAGCTTTAGAAGAACTTTAAAGCAAAGGGGAATCAAACCAGATGAACTTTGATATAGCCAGTGAGAAGCAGTATACCATTTACATAGAAACAGCCAATGGCCAGTTCATTGTATTAAACGGCTCATTTTATCTGGAATTACTCACTGAGAAATACTGGAAAGTGAACAAACCCATGGAACTTTATTATGTACCCACAAAAGAGCTTTTATGAAAAGCAGTTCTGAAAATGAATCCTTTTATAACCTAGTTCTTCAATATTAACAGATGTACCATCATTAATTTTTCTTTCTGAGCCAGACTAGTTTACACTTTTAGAATCTTTCCCCCATAATTTAAGATTTCCTGTTGGAAAGGGGCTGTAATTATTCAGTACTTTTTCTTTCCTTTGAAAAAGTCCAAGTTGTGTTTTTTTCAAAGTGTGGTTCCATTTTAGAGGACTCCTGGTCCAGGAATTTTTCATAGTTCTGCATTCTGAAGTGAAAATCCAGTTCTCCCGCTACCCCAAAGTTTCTTAGGCCTTCCTTCAGAATGTATTCTGTATTCTGATATGTATTCTGACTTTTTTCCTCCTGAGTCTTGTATATTTATAATTTTCTATATAAATGATAGGATCTTAATGAAGACCAATAATCACATTTACTTTAAAAACAATTTTCATAGGATTATTAGTTTTATGGTATTTTCTTCCATATTTCACTTTAAGAAGAGATTCTTTATGAACTTAGTGTCCACTGCCAGGCAATGTTATTTTTATTTATTTATTTATTTAAAAAAAAAAAAAAGTCATTTTGGAATTTCTGATCCTGGAGAAGAGAATCAAAATTTCAGGTTCTTTAAGAACTTGGTTTTTAAACAGATTTCACTGAAAATTAATGATGGAAAATTAAATTGGTCATTTGTAGTCTTCCAATAAATATTTTTTAAAATCTTTTTTATTTTTAGTACTAGTTCTTTTGTCATTTCAGTTTATTATGTGTGTTTGATATTTTTGCCTCTTGAAATACCACAGATATGGAGATATTTTGCACGTTAGCCTGATGAAAAGTACAAGACATGTTCACTGCTTCCCACATAAATTTCCAGAATAACATGGCACATAGAACTAACAATGAAAAAAGAAGTTTACTTCTGTTTGAAAAATATGTTTAACATTTTGTGTTGCTGTATCGGTTTATAAATTAGGTGCTCTCCTCATTATACTTTAGAAATGGAGGTGACCAGGGCTTTAAACTGGTTCATTCCTGTTTGAACTCCTGCTGATATTTTGCATTTCCAACCAATATCTGGGGTGGGATCGCAAATTCTCAACCTGGAATAAATCCATTTGAAGCCATGAGGTTAAGAAAAAAAAGCTTGAGCTATGGCCTACCTTGTAGTGAAAAATGATTTTATAGAATGCCAGATAGTAAATTAATTCTACTCCTTTTATTGAGTTTTATATGTTAGGTGTTTGGGAGCCAGAAGACTGTATGCTGACAAAAAGGTCAGAAATAAAATTGACTTGTGTATTATTTTCCATCCCTGTCCTGATTATATGGATGTTTCAAAGTCTGTATTGTCACAGTACTTACAAAGACATGTTTGCATTGAGAAATTAACCCCAAAGGTTTTTGATAGAAAAGAATAGTCCCTCAGTATCACTGTAACTAAAATGTGTTTGGTCAATGTAAATATTTATCTGTCAATTTTGTCAAATTAGGGCCAACTTGATGTTTTAAATCTTCAGCCCAATATAAAAATGTCAAAAACGTATCCAATTTTTTACCATTTTATTGAAGATACTTAAAACCTGCTTTTATAGTTTTTTTGGGTAATCTGTGCCATGAAATTTCAAAATCACCAAAAATTACAGAAATTTTTTTTATTCAATTCCTTTTATGGTATAATGTTAAACTGTATAATTATTATTAATGCATGTCCAGTGAATATAATACTGGTTTTGTGAGCTAACTGTTTGGATTTTATTGACAGTATTTTAGACTAGTGATTGCATTAAATAACTAAATTCCCATTATGATTATTAATAGGAGTTTTGTCTTTAAGCAAAAAATTATTTGTGAATATAATTTGTGCTTAGAGAATGTATGTGTGCTTATCTGTCAGTATGGGTGGATGAAAACTACACCATTAGTGAAGTCACTGGATCTGTAATCCTTTGCAGAATATAATTATCGATATTTGATAGAGCATTCAAAAAAGAAAAAAAAAAAAAGAGTCTACAACTTCCATGTATACATGTATTGATCAGATTCCAGTTTCGTATTACATACACTTTTCTACATGCTGTTTTCCATCTGGCACATACAGCCACAGTTTGATTTTGTATTTGCACTGCTGCAACACTATTTACTAGTCCTCTGTTGGTAGACATTTAGATTTTTGCCTCCTTCCTCTTGCCCTACTTTCATTTATTTGAATGATTATCATAAAGTGACAATAAGCATTCTAGTATTTATCTCTTTCAGCCCATCTATACAACAGTACTTTTTGTGCCTGAATTAACCTAAGTCACTAAGTCATCATGTAATACAAGGCAAGAGTTTCTGTTTCATATTTAACACACACACACACACACACACGAGTGCACAAGCACACAAAAACAGAGGAATATTTTCTTTAAGTAAACGATTCTAAGGGCTTCCAAGTAAGTTTCTAAATGAGCAGATAAATTGGTTCATGACTCAGCCACTTAAGGCATTAATCATTCAGCTCAATACCAGCAATCACCCTGATGGTTCTGACTATAGGGTTACCAATGTTGTTTCTTCCAACCCTCTACCTTAGTCATATATTGTTCAACTTGCACTCCTCCTAATGAATTACTGGTTACACATAAAAAGCAT